TCCTCCATTCATCGGGAATTGGCCCAATGGTCAAATTGGTAGAGGTAAAAAAAAAAAGCCAAAAAAAGGACAGGGCCTTCTTCTAGGAAAAAACAGTCCGTTCAACTCATTTCCAATAATAGGAGACATCTTGTAAAACCAAAAGTTTCATAAAACAATTCCTATGACAAATTTCGATCTTCTTGAATGGTGTAAATATCTGAAAATTCCAATCAACAATGTTCTAAGCAGAGATGAAAAGGTTCCTCACAATCACAAACAAGCACTTTTCATTTACAATCTCGAACCATCTTACATGTCAGGATCACATTGGGTAACAACTTTCGTTAAAGATAATATAATCAATTATTTCGATTCATTTGGAATGCCACCTTTTGAAGAATTAGTTAATCATGCTAAAAATAAAAATTTAACTCTTACATCGAGACAATCAAATTCAAAACATTAGAACATCAACTTGTGGTTATTTTTGTTTATATTTTTTAAATGAAATGAAAAAAGGTACATCATATCAAGATCTCAAAGTTTTTGATATAAATGACACAATTAAAAACGAAAAATTCATTGAAAACTATTTCAAAAGATTAATATAATTTATATATATGAAGACTTATTGTGTGAAGCAGGAAAAACAAACAGAATGTGTCCCAGGAAGTGAAAGATATGAACCAGCTCAAAATGGAAGAATGATGTTAAAATGTAAATGCGCCGAATGTGGTATAACTAAAACCAAACTTGCTAAAAATAAATTAGTTACATTTATAATATAACATATTTATATGCGAAAACTTATTGCATTAAGCAAAAAAACAAACTGGATGTGTTCCAGGAAGCGAAAGATATGAACCAGCTAAAAATGGTAGAGATGAGACAATTTTTAGTGTAATAGAAAAATCTGAGCCCCAGATGGGACTTGAACCCACGACCCTCCGTGATCTAGTCGGATGCTCTAACCATTGAGCTACTGGAGACTCTATGGTGAGCAAGGGTCAATTTGTCGCCCTCGACTGGAACCGCATCGCGCGGCTACACAGCCAAGTATTGGTAAGCGCCTGTGAAACTCACTAACAGCATCACGCTGTCACATTAAAGCATATCAAGATGCGGCCAACCAACCTCCAAAGTGAGCATGTAAAGATGAAACAATTTTTAGTGTAATAGAAAAATCCGAGCCCCAGATGGGACTTGAACCCACGACCCTCCGTGATCTAGTCGGATGCTCTAATCACTGAGCTACTGGAGACTCCGGTCTGTTCAAAGTTAATGTTTCTTTGATTTTATTAACTGCAACCAAATTCTCATTAAATGATTTGCTTGAAACAAAACTTGGCTTAGAGACTAATTTTGTAAGTTTTTTCTCATCTGTAACTAATCTCTCATCAACACGATTTCTTAAGTTTTCCATGGTCGTCCCAAATACAGAATTGTTCATCAATTTGAAAAAATCTTTCTGGAAAGCAGTTTTAGCTTGAGTTCTCTTTTGTGTATTAAAATCAATATATTTTTTCAACCATGGTGATTGATCGAATTCAAGTGCTCTATGAAGCTTTTTTATTTTAATTCCAAGTTGTGTATATAAATTTAAATTTTGATGATGTAAAACGTATTTCCCTTTGTTCAACAGTGTGGAGATCAGTTTTGATACTAATCATGTTGATATATTGAATTTATTGGCTATTTTTTTACAATAATCTGAAAGCATCTCTTATTTGACTTTTATTTTCTCAGGCCCAAGTGGATAATCATTATGTAAATCATGTAAATCATCGGGATATTCTAAATCAACTTCTAAAATCAATCCTTTTCGGCTTGTTTCATGATAAGCACCAATATATGTTTCATTCAGTTTCTTTTCTGAAAGCCATCTAAACCCTCCTGTTGGTAGATATTAAGACATTGCCCATCCATATAAATTATTCGCATCAAGATACATGATGTATTTCGATTCATCGTTTTCATCATAATCTTTCATGTATATATTATTCGCCTTAGGATAACGATTTGCAATATAACTCATTCCTCCTCTCATTCTTTTTTCACTGAATTGATACATATCAATTTTTAGTCATTAGTTCAAGTTTAATATTTGTTATTTTTAACATTGCGTCCCAAGATAAGCCAGGACTTGTAAAATAATGGCATGGATTTAATTTATAGTATCGAAGACAAGTTTTTCTAAAAATTTTCAAAAATATCAGCCAACAACAATATATCAGACTTCAAGTACAAATCATGTTAGTCTCCCATTGATTTTAGCTTAAAAGTTTCCCACACAGTTTGAGCATGTTTGTATTCATCATCAGAGATGTGTTCATTATTCAGTATGCTGTAAAATTCATCTTTAGTAGGTAATTTTGTCTCATTGAATTTTTCAAAACTATGCATGTGATCATAAGGATACACACCTTTTTTAGTCATCAAATCTAATTCGTTATTCTTGAATTTTTCTGATGTATATTTGAAAGCTTCTTTAGGAAGGTTATTCACTAACTTATCAAGACTTGAGCTCATGAATTGAAAATTATCAATGAATGTGAGATGATTTCCAAGCAGGAAAGCCATATATTTTTCTAAGTTATTTGGAATAGCGTTTATATTCATTTGACACTCTTCTCCTTTCTTATTTGTGTATTTGTTATTCTTAACAATTTCACCAATCTCTTGCGTTATGAAATGAAATTCATATCCTCTGAAATTGTGATAGATGACAGGTATTTTATCAGTTATTTGAAAATTAAGATTACAATCTTGGTGTGCAGAACCTCTGTACGAATCAGTCACTTGGCAATAATCTCTGACACGAGTATCTTTTTCAGCATATATCTTTTCACAGATATGACATTTATCAGCTTTTTTAAATTGTTCTTCATCTTCTTTTGTCATTTTTAGTGCTTTGTTGAATTTGATTTTATGACACTCTTACAATATTTTACTTCTTCAAGCATTTTTTCCATGAATTTATAAACGGCTTTTTCACCACGATATATTTGAATTGTTTTTGTGTATTTATCATCATAACAACAAACGACTTTATAACCTTACCCACAATCAGTATGTTTTTGATAAGCTTGGGTAAAAGATTTTTTATCATAAGACTGACATCCAGGAGTTTTCTCAGTTATAGGTTCAAAGTCAGCATAAATATAACGAATGGAACTGGCAATTGTTTATGATAATTATTAAATTTTAATATATTATTGTCTTTAGTAGGCATTTTAACAGCTTGAGTTCCATTCATAATAAGACAATTGTCTTTATGATCATTTAAAACTCTTTCAGAACTGAAACATTGAAAACAATAATAACAAAAATGCTTTCTACCATTATGTTTTGTTATAGCATGCATAAATCTGTTAAAATATTTTATTAAAACATAATGTGAATCATGTTCATGTATCACTAGAATATTCAAATGATCTTCATTTCTTTCTTTACTAACATAAAGTGGATATCTTTGTTGATTGTCATATCCAAATACATTCACATTTATGCTATTTTGCTTTTCTATTTTATTTATTTGACTAAGTTTGACTGGAAATTCAATTCCTGAATAATCTAATTTATCAACAACTTCCTGTCCACTTTTTTAATTCTCTGAGGATACTTTTCTTGTGGATTCAAATGTCTGATATAACACCAACGAAAGCATTCATTATCCTTATTTTGCAAATTGGTCAAACCTTTTTTAGGATTCCTTAATTCTGGTGGTAATTCAATATAAGATGAACCTTTTGTTGGATTATAATGATTAAAATTTAAATAATGCTTATCAACTGAGTTAATAATCCAACCAGATCCTTCTGAAATCCATTGTGCTATTTTATTTAATAATTCTTGCTCTTTTAATTGCAAAGATTCTTCTATCTTTATTTCATTTATTATTGTTTGAGGTTTACTATTGAAATATACTTCGTTAATTTGAAATTCACCATCATGATTGACTTTTTCAAAAGTTATTTTTAATGATTCAACTAATCTCATTACTTTCATTTCTTCTAATTCTTTATCAATAAATCTTCTTATAAATAAATCTTCTTATAAATCTTCTTATAAATAATCTTGTGCTTTGCATTTGAATTAATGGATCTTTTTCATCTTTAATATTAATCTCATAGGATCTTGTGAATCCTTTCAAAACTCTATTTGTTTCATTGATTATTGTTCTTTTTAGAGGAACAGGTTTTTTAGCTCTTGGTTTAGGTACTGGAGGTTTAATAATGTTTTTGTCATTTTTTTTTTATCATCTTTGACAATCCCCACACGCTTGTTTTTATTTTTGGTTTATTAATTGGAATGATAGGAGGCTCTACGATTTTTTGTTTCATATTTTTTTCTTCATATTCTTGAGCCATCTGTTTTACACTTTTTTGTCTTTGTTGAATAATTGGTGATTGATGTTCATTTAAAATCATTTGAATCATAACATCTTTTGGAATTAATTTGCTAAGTAGCTCTCTCGATAGATTTTCTAAATTTTGTCTATTCATATTATCTATACTATATGTAAATATTTTTTTGATCTGGAATCGCTCTCCATAATTAAATTACGTGTTTTTTCTTAAAGTACTTTATCAAATTTTTCGTAATTTTCTTTATTCATACTATATATCAATATTTTTTTGATTCAGCAATACGCATTCTTAATTTTTATATTTAATTTTTCTTTAAGCACTTTTAAAAAATTTAAGCGTTTTAATTTGAAAACAAGATTAAGAAGAAACTATTTTGAGTCTGTGTTTTATGATTTTAATTTTTCCATAAAGTTTAAAAATTTCTGGAGTTTTGGATTTTGTCATATCAGTTTACAGATTTATTCCAGATCATTTTTACAGATCAGTTTTACAGATTAGAGTTATATATTTTTCACGGATTATTTTAGATTTTTAGGCCCCAGGGTTGTTGGTCTATACCTCTCAGTCACTATACTACTAACGCAAGGTATATTGTCGCAACTCTGATTTTTAACCTGTTAATTTGAGATTCCTTGTGTTTTGAAACAGACTTACATTGTCAAGAAACACTTGGTATGGAAAGTGGTACAATCACAGAGGAGCAGATAAGTGTCTCATCCCGTGAACAGAATGTCGGAAAAAGTGTAAGATTACATCATACTGGGAAGACTTGGGTAGCTGATAGGAATCGTTTAAATGAGTGGCTTCAGCTCGATCTCAGAGCTCAACACACTAAAGTAACACGAGTAGCAACACAAGGATCCAGTCAAGGGAAATACAGGGTGAAGAAGTACAAGCTACAATACAGCAACTATGGAGTGAGATTCCAGTACTACAGGGAACAAGGGCAAACAATTGCAAAGGTAAAACAGATGAGAGGTGGCGGAAGATTCTGAAACGTGAACTGCTCCTTGTACACCGCAGAGCCAAGATCATTTCTTAACTTAAACTTCCCACTTTGTGTTGTTTGTTAGGACAAGCAGTCCTTTTTGCAATCTTATTGAGTAGACAGAGCTTCATTACTCGATTTGTTGCAATGCATTAATCAGTAGTTGTTCAAAACAGTATGTTTTAGTCGATGAATTCGAAGCTTCAACGCCCCTCTAGGCAACCGCCTGGCAACCCCACAGGTATGGGACTTTTGAAGATTGGGTCATTCAATTCCCTCACCGGGTTAAAATTGCGTTCAAATCACCCAATATTGAACGATTTATTTGTGTGATCAACGAGAGTCGTAGAATTTGGCAAAGTCATGTATTTATTTTTAATGGTGCTGTTGGGTTTTCGCTAATAAGCATCATTCTACGATGTCAAAATTTTCTTTCTAAGCCATTCGTTCACGAAAACAAACTCTTTACCTTTAGAATCGTGCAGGAAAGACTTGACACTTCCGTTTCAATTGCCCCACCCTACCCAGGAAAGTAAAATTCCTCACCGTAGGGCATGAACGACGGTCAAATACCTGTACCAAGGGGGATATTGAGGCCTCAATTTGATCGGTGCATTACGACAAAAGAAAGTTTTATACTTTTACAATTTTTCTTTGCAGGCGTAAATCTCATCTACTCAGTTTTTAGTTAATTTTAGACTGATATTTGAAGAAACATTTTTTTATAAATTATGCCATACCATGGCATGGGATGAATTTTCCCGAATCTAATCTCTCGTGCAATTATTCACGGTTTACCACACGAAAACATTGCAGAATGCAATTCTGTAGATATTATTTAGCAAATTCTCACGTATACAACGCGGGCACGTACCGTACATTTTAAATCGAAACAACTAGTATTCATTTCACAATTATTAAGAAGGGCATTCAGAATCATCTATCCTGACCTGTCATGTAGTGTAGCACTAGAAACAGCTGGCCTACCGAAACTTCACGAGAGGAAAGAAAAGATTTCAACCAATCTGTTTGACGAGGTAGTCCGTAGCCCCACCCAGAGACTCCACAGCCTCTTCCCTCAAAGGAAGAGTTGTAGATACGCACTGACGCGCAAAAGTGATTTCACTCTTCCCATCTGCAAAACCGAGCGCTTGAAAAACAGTTTTAGTTTTAGCCATGTTTATAAGATGCAGATAATTTTCTTTCTTTTATCATCTGTATTTGTAAATATTCCGTAATTCAGCCTATGGCTGCAAGGTGTTTATAATAAATTATCTATCTATCTATCTATCTATCTATCTCTATTATGATGCAGGAATTTAATGGGAACGCAGACGAGAGCAGTGTTGTTTATCACGACCTACATCCACCAATCACAGCAAGGTACATACGTTTCCTACTAATGGAGTTCGACAAAAATAAGATATCAATGAGGGTGGAACTGTATGGATGTCGGAAAGGTAAGGAAGATGGAACTCTTCCAAGTAATGTAGGGGGCCTAACTGGCAATTCCGTTGAGGTCTGGGTCCGAGTGTCCCAGCCGAGGTTAATTTATTCATGTTGCATAGGTGTACGAGGGTGTTATTAGGGTTAAAATTAGCGTAGGTGTACGAGGGGGTTATTAGGGTTAAATTTCGTGTAGGTGTACGAGGGGTTTTTAGGGTTAGGCTTAAATTTCGTGAGAAGGGTGAATAAAAACATCATAACGGTTTTTCAAAAGACGAAAGAGTCCAAGATGGCGGTGAGATAAAGTACAACATTTGGTTTTGCATATGATTTATTCGTTCACTTTGCACGATATTTGAGTTGTAAGTAGGTAACATAAGCTAGAAAGGCTGTCATCATGTCTTTGTATAATTGATGGAATGTAGAATGTTCTCCCACGTTGGAATCATTAGTTTCAATCTCGTCAATGTATCTTGTCACTTGTCTACGTATTTCACAAAGATCTTGCGTGGTAGCTTTTTCTTTTGTAATGGCAAATAATTCGTCTAGGATAGTTCCGGCCCACTGGGGATTGTGTTCAATCTCTTCGTCCAAACAGTTGTTTTTCAGATGACATGGTGTTTGAAATGAATGTAGAAATGTAAGAAGAGGTTATACATAATCGTAAAAATGTCACTCTGATTGACAAGCTGTCATCATGTCACTGTACAATTGGAAAGTAGATTGTTCTCCCACGTTGGAATCATAGGTTTCTTGGCAACTTCCGCGCGGCCTGGGTCCGAGTGATTCGGCCAAGTGGGTTCTAATGAAATATTCATATGGCGTAGGTGCACGAGGGGGGTTTTAGGGTTTATTCATGAGGCGTAGGTGCACGAGGGGTTTAGGGTTGTTGGGGTTTAGGGATGTTAGGGTTAGGGTTGTTGGGGTTAGGGTTGTTGGGGAGGTTAAAGTTAGATTTCACTTAGGTTCGTGTGTAGGGTTTTTCCGCATCTCATTTTAAAAAATAACAGTTTTCTCAAAACAATGGGAACAAAAGAATCCAAGATGGCGGGGGGGTTAGCTCCAACACACTGTTTTCGCATACGTAATGTTTATTGTCACACAACACAGGGAAAAGAGAATGGACCCTATATTGCGCGTTTGGGTATCGCGGGTCAGACATACTAATCTAATCGACTTAGACTGCGAGCAGAAGTTGTATTTATAAGAGTCCCAAAAGGTTTTCACACGCATGTGGTACAGGTTATTCAGGACGTATGACTTCAACGTTTTAAAAATGTAAGAGAGGTATGATCGTAAGACACAGGGCTTGACAAGCTGTCAAGGTGTTCGGGTAGACCTTGTCGTTATAAACTCTTGGTCAGTTTTATAATGTCTGACTTTTACGATTTCTCCTTAATTGCGGTCAATGCGAATGGTGTGTACTAAAAGAAGAAGAAATAGAGAGAAAAGCGTTTTGGCAGGACAATTTAAAAAGAATAAGAGCACTCTAGAAACCAAAGTGGATAGACGAAATATGAGTGTTTATTATGAATGATACATAGTATCACGCAACTACCCTTACCGGTTCTGGGACAATAGAGTATCCACACTTGAAAATTAGAAGGAAATGTATGAGAGATGTAGGAAGGAAACAAAAATTAAAAGCGTTCAATAAATCCTGGTTTAGGGTTAAATTGCGTAGGTTATAGGAGCGTGACTTTTTTTTCATGATTTGAAAAAATAAAGGCCATCTAAGATGGTGTAAAACAATAAAAATAATGAAACCTAAGATGGTGTTTAATCCTCCCTTAGGGAAAATGATCTCAAGATAAAATGAATATTCAAAAAACCTTCATTTTAGAATAAAAGGAAAAAATTGTTTTGACCAGGATTTGAACCTGGTTTATTGCGGTCACTCACACGACTACACCCCTCACTCTCACCCTAAGCCCAATTCCCTAACCGACTTATTCCCATATCAAAATCAAAATAAAAACCCTAACAGTCAAACATC